AGGGTTACAAGGAAGATGCCATATTCGCCATTTTCTTTCTTATTCTTTTCAAAGTATCTCTAAAAAAATTATTATTGCTTCATCTCACCGGGCTGTCACCACAATGTCCGAAAATATTGACAAGTATCGAAGTTGATCTATGTCGACCACCCGATGAGAAAGCTCGCATTTTTTCATCTATCGTTCGCAAGCAACGTTAGAAAGTCTTTTTTCAGTATAAAAAGGGTTGTAATCCGGGCTCGAAACTCGTCGTTTCACAATGCTTAAGCTCTGTCCCGCCTACTTGATGTTTTCACATTCTCGCGAACCCCTCCGATCATCTTTTACTATTGAGAAAGGTAGAATCGAGTTCTCTCTCCTATACATTTACCTTTATATCTTTACCTTTCAACTTTTTTTCTCTTTCTCTCTTTCTCTCTTTCTCTATTTTATCTCTCTATATCTCAGTTTCCATCGACCCATAATATTTTTTGAAAAGGATTTCATGAAACGCCAACGGCATTGTTTCTTAGCTCGCGACAAGCGTGGATCATCCCGATTATCTTCGAAGTTTTAAGGACTCTTAGTGACCCTTTGACTCTTCGACTCGAGCGAACAATAAAGACAAAATAAGATAAAATAAATGTCTAAGTTCAAATTCTGGAATTTAAAAAATCGTTTTAGACTTTTTTCTTTTATCTCCTTTCAGCAATAACATTGAAATAATGGCAAACGTTATCGCAACGTAGAATCAATAAAACATCGTATTCGTGGTATTCGACAAGAGGCAATAAACGATCGTTAAAGTGTTAACGGATATTGTTCTATAATGAGAACCAAGAACTACCATTAGTATAGGCACGTTCGTTCGACTATTATTATTCTGACTTAATTAAGTTTCACGGAATCAAATGGACTTGAACGGCTTGCTCAGATATAACTTTCCTCGGTCGAGGCGTGCGATGATTGGAGAATATATTGTAAATTTATATTTTTATTTTTATCAACGGCATATATTACATGGCTACTTAAATATTTTTAAATTACATAAAGTCCGTATCATGTTAAGCATTCTCAATTATTTCATCTGAGATATTTGAAAGAAATATTTTACTTTGTTCCATTGAAAAATATTTGTTTATTTTTTTTTTATTTCATAATCAAGAGATTGTAAAATTGTATTACGTATACCTCTTGTTTTCTTTTAAGTATTCATTGACCTATCACAACGTTGAAAGAGAAGCGACCGTATTCAATCGTGATTATTTCGGCCGCGACAAGATCGCGTTCAACTTTTAGGGACAGAAAGAGAAAGAGGAAGAGAAAGAGGAAGAGAAAGAGAGAGAGAAAGAAAGAGAGAAAGAGAGAGAAAGAGAGAGAGAGAAAGAGAGAGAGAGAGAGAGAGAGAGAGAGAGAGAGAGAAGATGAAAAGTAACGCGAAGATACAGCGAATCGGAATGTAGCCTTTGAACTAGGAAGGGAGACCCCTTGAAGTCTTTTTGGGTAGATCGAAGCTCATAACGCGTGATGACATGCCTACTTACGGCACTCGACGGCGATGCTTTTACGGTTTTCGTGCGGCTAGCATCGGTGGAGAATTTGATTAGGCCAATTATGCGCCAGCCGATCGAATCTCAACGTGAAATTAGATTAGCCACGTCGATTATTAAGTCAGTATTGCCTTTTTATCTCTTAATATAAACGCCACAAGCAGCACATTGATACTGATTGATATTTAATTCCTCATTTAATAAACTCTCGTAATGTTATATCGGATTTAAAATTTTGATCAGAAGAAATTAGATCTAACGATCTGGATAATATTATTTTACTGATGGATAATTATTAAAAGAAGAGTTTAATAAGGGGTATGAAAAATAAAAAGAAAAATAAATCGATCTGATTATTGCCACCTATTTTCCTTTTTTATATAATCACCAAATTATGAAGAAAAAAAGATAAAAGTTAGAGAAACGATAAGAAGCTCGGATCGACGAACATTAGAAAGTTTCGTTGTTGTTTGTAACGTTGCCCTTTTGAAAGGAACTCACGATGGAACGTCGGAAGTTTTACGGGGGAGCTAGTTGGGGGTACCCCGAATATATATGCGCGGATCGCTTTGCAAAAGATCGACAAATGCAGCGTGATGCGCGTCCAATCAGCGCAGCGTAGCCAGCTGCCGTGCGGGCAACGCCAACCAAGCCGACGCGTACCCAAAGCGCTAGTTTGGGTTCATTCATCAAGCTCCTGGTTACAGGATGCAATAGCGTACCCGAAAATCTCTCTTCCTTTATCGATCGTCTCGAAAGGTTCCTTTGTTTCCTCGTTGTTCTCATCGACGTGTGGCCTAACAAAGATCGTTTACTAAAGAATTTATAAAAAACGATAGATCTTATGACTGTTCTTTATAATAGATCGAGAAAAGTTCATTCGATGGAACTAAGGAATTTACCACGTGTAGATACGTGAAAATTTCTATTCAAGTTACTTGTATCTTGTATATTTATCGGAACATTATTTTCATCGAGCATATTTCAAAGACGTTTAGGCAATCAATAAGTTTCGTAAAAAGTATCTATGTATTCTTCTATATAATACATCGTAAGATTTATATGTAACTTAAGAAGAAATTAGAGGAGCAAGAAGATTGATCGTGGAAGCAAGTACTTACTTCCTGTGTACCTTGATAGCTTCATTAAAAGTTTGTTTCATCGTGCTCCAAGTAAGATCCGATCGTCGGAAGAGCTCGTCTGAGGGATAATCGTGTCTCGTAGGAAGCTAGCTTAGTCGTCGTCGTTAAACATCGTTAAATTAGTAACACTAGGAAAGTCCATGGCACCGCATGATATTCCCATATCAGTCTAACCTACGTACCACGGAGTTTCTACAACAGAACGAACAAACGAAGCTACCCTACGCCGCCCGATTTGCACGCTTTTCATTGGCTCGGTTAAGTTTGATTAATCTAATCGGTCGCACCATTGTTCGAAACGTACCGCTGTGTCCCATTGGCTGCCTGGCATAAGACCTTCTTATATGTGTGTACACGTACATCTGTATGGGGGGTCCACGGTGTTTGCCATTAAGGCTGGGAGAAGACGTGCAAGCAGCCATTACTAGCCACGGCCGAACTGGTTTTGTGTGTTTTTCGCTCTGCCCATTTCATTTCTTCTCCCTGTTTTACACCCCTCTTCTCTCCCTTTCCGCTGAGTTAAGTCGACGATGATTTGTGCCCCGTTTGCTCAGCGTCCTATGTCCTATAGGGAAAATGGCGGTTGATTTGCGAAAAAAAAGGTTCCCGTATTTTTTCTTGTTTTTTATTGTTTTTATATCTTCTTCTTTTCCTTCTTTTTCTTTTTTCTTTTTTTTTTTTTTTTTTTTTTTAATATTATTCTTCATATTTTATCGTGACACTCGACAAATTTACGAACTTGGTATACTTTCTTACGTCATTCGTATGTATATATATATATTTTATGTATATATATATATATTTTAAGTTCAACTCGAACGAGATGTTAAATTTGTGATATATTCTCATGTTATATACCTACTCCCCTTCCTATCCACGGGGTGCAAACTCAAAGTTTCGTAGGTCGTTACGCTCGTTAAAGTTACTCGTAGGCTATACATCTGTTGGGAATGTTCGTATTGTACGAACGGTTTACGTTTTTTTTTTTTTTTTTAAAATCGTAAAATTAATTATAGCATTTTCTTTCGATATCGACAAAGAAATGATAATTTTTATGCGTTCGTTGTAAATACAATTTAAGATAAAAATTATTGTCTAAAATATCGTTCAATTAAACTTGAAATTATTTCAATCTTTAAAGAGATTATCAACAATTAAATTAACGAAAATTTCATTAGTTTTACCAGGAAGGACTAAATCTGATAAATTGAAGACAATCAGCGAATATGAATACCAGTCGAACTTCTATATCCCACGGTATTGTGAATTTTTCGGACCCCACATATAGTTTCCAACCAACTCAAGGTTTCCCCGCCCATTTCCTATCTCCCATAGCTTACAGTTTAGGGTTGCCATTCGAAGCGGCTTCTTTGACCCCAGTCCCTTTCTTTCAGCCCCTATCGCCAATCCTATGCGACGGACTATCCTCCAATCTGTTGCTCTAGAATTTTCTTACCCTCCCGTTTCATGCGGTAGGTCAGGAGGCCGCACGACAAAACATTGTTACATCAAAGCCAATTGGAATTGATCGTGGCAATAATATTTTCTTCTTTTTCTTTTGTTTGTTATTTATTTATTTTTTTTTTTTATATCATTCACGTGATCGCATTTTGATATATTTTGCTTACAATATTTTATTATGTTATTTGATATTGTTGATATTACAGTGGATCGAGGACAACATTGGGAAAAAGTCGGTAAGATCGGGCCGAAAAACGCAACCGTATCTTTCCTACGCGACGATATATTTATGTCATGATAGAGAAAAGCGAAGAGGTCCGACCACCTACTTGGCGAACACAATGGGCCACAAATGCGTGGCGACAGGACTCGTAGATATACGGCAGGCTGATTGCTCGTTGTCACTGTACACCCGATTGTCGGCTCTCCTTCTGACTTTTCATTTTTTGCATTTCATTTTTTTTTTCTTTCCTTTTCTTTTCTTTTCAAGTCTGGTCGATTTTCAAGAACGGTAGGCTTCATGTTGATCATTAATATAATTAATATTTATTTTATAACATTTTTAAAAATATTAAACAGGCGAATGTAAGTACTTACTTACCGTATATATTGTTAGACCAATCATAAGATTTGTTCACAAATGTGTATAAAAATTAGGATGTATTTGATTAAATCGTCGATTGCAGACTGTAAGCTTTGTTTATTTCATAACGTCGATTTTTACAGCATAGCTATAGCTACCGATTGAAAATATTCTTATGTGAATTATGTAAAATTTCCTTTATGTACAATAATTGTGTATGTGTACGTGTATGTATATATATATATATATATAACGTTCAATTAAATAAATCGTTTAAAATAATCATCAAGTAAATACTAACGATAGCAATCTCTTTAGTATCAAGTTTAACATTATTGCCGTATTTAATCTCGTTTATTAAATAACGCCTACGATTGATATTAATTTCTTAACGCTTTATAAATAGGTTAGCAATATTAATAAAAAATTACTTACGATATTAATTTAAGGCGATCATTAAGGCAAGAAGTTAACAAGGCACGTCTTCTCGTTGTTCACGAAAAATAATAAAACATTCAACCGACAAATCGAATTTGTTTGTCTATTTAAAATTGTTCGATAAATTCGTTAATCATTTGCACTGGCAACACGTTGTACACAAATACACGTATGTAGATATCTATTAAGTACGAATGTTTTACGTTTACATATAATTACACATATGTACAGCGATTTCGAAGTTTTCACGTTACTATTATGTCCTTTCGATTTTATCGAAGATCATTTTATTTAAAGCACAGAGTTTATATTAAGGCACACTTATTTTCAGAAATATATTTTATCGCTTTTCAACGTTACTTCCAATTCGGCTGAGGAAAGCAAGCTGGCTTTGATCAAGTGGCTCGTTCGTGTAACCGTTTAAGGTACTTCGAGCCTGCGAGACTGGAACATTGAAGTCGTTCGACCTGCCAGTCGACAAGACGAAATCTGGGCCGTGTACTCTTCCGCAAACTTGTGAGTCGATTCCACCCAAATATGGATAACCACTTTTAGCTTCGCCAGGACTGTGAGGTGCAACATGATGATGAGCAACACCAGTACTTGCTGGCACCGCGGAACTCGCACTCTGTACCATGCAAGCACTCATATTCGAGGCCGTTGGACTGACGCTACCACCGAGGCTACTCAAATTTAGATTGCTGCTACCATAGTGAGAGGCGTTGAATATTCTGCAACAAAGTACATCAACGATTTCTAAAGGAGATTGAGAGGAGATTGAGAGGAGTTTGAGAGGAGATCGATTGCTCTATTGAATCTTAATTCGAGTTGAATATATTTGCTGATTATTCATCTATGCTAATTTTATTTATATATAAAAATAATAATAATTATTATTATTTTGTTGATTTATATGAAAAAATTTTTTGTGCCTAAAACAATTGTGCATGTTGATTTTGTGCTATTGAATATTTTTATACGAATTAAATTTATATATAATACAATTATATTAATTTCCTATAAGAATTTTCAATCGTTTACCATTATAAATTCCTGTTGTCACAGATTGATTAAAAAGAAGAAAAAAGAGAAAAATTAATAAAATAAAAAAATTCCAAGTATATACGAGAAATGATATCATTACATGAAATGTATTTAATTTTATATTTCTACAGTTAGTACAATTTATATTTCATAATACAATTTATAATTCCAAAATAAATATAAATATTTATTTTCTTTTATTCTCGGTTTACGTTATTCCAAAATTTCCATAAAATTGAGAAAACGTCGCCGATTAAACAACTAATCTTGGAGATTATCTTAAAGTCAAGCACAATCTGGCATCTCGTTAACAAAGCGTCGTTCGTTTGGTGTTTACAAAAGCAATAAAAGACGCGCGTGGGCGCACGAGTTCTGTGTGTTTCTTCGGGGCGTGCCGAACGTTTTGACTCCCGCGCTTTCGAGCGCGGTACCTTTTGAACCGTTAAGGTCTCTAAATCGTGCCGATGCACGACCCTGCTCTTTTTTTTCTTCTCTTTCCCTCTCTCTCTCTCTCTTTCTTTCACACTCCTTGGGAGGCAGTTTGAAAAGAAACGCGAAGATCGTGGCGGAAGCCTCGACCGATTTATCGACTGTGTTCCCTTTCCTCTCTACCCTTAGCTGAACCAATTCTAAATATCGAGAGTAGATCTCTCTAACGACTACAAATCATCCCTTTCTCTATGCCGCGTTAATGACTTGGCAGTAAAATTAAAAAGAAAAGCGAGAAAGGTCGATCTGGAAATGAGTCGGATCATAATTATATTCTTATTTGGGACACGTTGAGTTATTAATGACGGCAATGTATGCACGTGGTTGAATTCGAGAAAGAGAGAGAGACAAAGAGAGAGAGAAAGAGAGACAAAGAGAGAAAGAGAAAGAGAGAGAGAGAGAGAGAGAGAGAGAGAGAGAGAGAAAGAGAATGAGAGAACAAGAGACGTGACAGATCCGTTCGTAGCGACGGTTAGAGAGAGATCGATCGCGAGAGAATATGCGTCCCGCGTTGAGGGGGCTGAGAATCGACCGCGGCCGGAGGATTATTAGCCGGTAGCGTTTCATTACGGAGGCCGAAGCAACATAATTGAGGACCACACAGAAAACGGTGTCGGTAGACGGTGGAGAGAGAGGAAAAAGAAAAAAGAGGGAAGAAGAGCCACGAACATGGACGAGTAGAAAAGACGAGTCCGCGAGGATGTAGGTTCGAACGTGTGCGAGGACAACACAAGGTTACATGGCACACTGTAGCAACGCGATCACCCCGGCAACCTGTTATTACGGCACAATGGCTGAATTAATTGTTGAAGAGTACGCGGCTCGAACCTTTGCTCAGCTTTCTCTCGACGGCATCACCTGGTTCAAACCGTTTTAAACGTTAGCGGCGTTCGGATATTACACGGAACTCTCTTTTTCTATCTCACACGAAGTCTCGTGGGAGGTCTTCCTCCATCGAAAGCCCCCCCAACATGGAATTTACTTTCTCTTACTTGAACGGAAAGGAACATCGATGTTTTTCAAGATCGACTTACCCGTAGTTCTCGGCCGTCGCTCTGGACCATTGCTGCTGAGCGTAATAGTTTTCCCCGTAGTTGTAGTGCTGAGGATAAGCAGCTGTTGTCGCTGCCGCCGCAGCAACGCTTGCTTGCCCGTAACTCTGATAACTCTCCGCTGCGCTACCATAGTGTTGACTCTGAAACGATTGTAAACTCATCGTGTTGAACGCATTCGCTTGCTGACTGTTCATCTGTTTTCTTAGTCTCGCCCGTCTGTTACTAAACCACACCTGAACACGAGCCTCCGTTAGCTTCGTTCTGAAACAATGCCGGATAGTTCGAATTGTTGAAAGATCCTTTTTTTCCCCCTCCACATTTAAATCTGTTTCTAGAGCTTCACTTACTTCTGAGCCAACTCCTCTCTTGTATAAACATCTGGATATTGAGTTCGAATGAATACTGCTTCCAATTGTTCCAATTGTTCTCCCGTGAAGGTAGTTCTACTACGACGTTGCTTTCTCTTTAGAGCTATGCCAGGCTCGCTTTCTGTCTCGGAATCGTCTCCACCATCGCTTCCACCTGAAGTAACGACAAAAATAATATCCATACTGATTAAAATCCCTTACATGTCTTCGACTTAGTTCTGTCTAGATCCTGTCAAACTTCTCGAGTATCATTGGTATGTGTCA